ACAAATAATATACTTCGATCTGCCTTCAGAAACCGTAGTTCTTTTTCTGGATGTGGACAGCATTTTCCATCATGAGTCTTTTGGAGTTATCTTAGATCCTTGCATTTCTAAGAAGAGATAAGTCTATCAAAGTTAGTAATCACACAATGTAGCTGTTACTGTGTACAATGTTCTCCTGGTTCTGCTCACGTCACTCAGCATCAGTTCATACATGTCTTTACAGGTTTTTCTGAAATCTGCCTGTTCATCATTTCTTTTTCTTTTCTTCTTCTTTTTTTTTAATCAGTTTATTTAGATTTATCAGCAATCACTTCCATAAGCTTTTGCCTTTTTAAATTTAATTGTACTCTTAATTAATTAATTAATTAAATTGTCTTGGGGAGGGAGGGGGTTTTTTTTTTTAGAAGAGTGTGTGTGTGTGTGTGTGTGTGTGTGTGTGTGTGTGTACACATCCATATACATATTCTTCTATTCTCACCCTGGCCCTGTCTTCTTATTGATATATCCCAACTATACTGTCATACTTGCTGTCCTTCATATACATAGCTTCATTCTCTGTCTCTGTTCTCCTCACTGGCTGCCCCTCCTCTGATATCTGTGTTACGCTCCTTCTTAGCACTAGCTATTAATTAGTGCCTTCTCTTCCAGAGAGTATGAATTCAGAGCCACCCATTCTGTCTCCCCTATTATAATACAAGCTCCTTGAGGACAAAAACTGTTTCTCTTTTACCTTTGTACCAGTGCTGAACATGACTCCACGTAGTATGTGTTTTGTAAATGTTGGTTGATTGATAAGCATAGACTTGTGAGAAAAACTAAGGTCAATAAAAAAGGACTTTTTGAGTTGTACCAAGAAGAGGATCTAAGAAGGCATAAGAAAGCTGCTTGATGATAGCAGACAAGAGTAAATGAATTATTCTTAGTATTTACAATAAATAATTCAAGAACAGTGTGATATAGTAGAAGGAGCATTGGATTTCTAATTGTGGGACTTGGGTTTGGATTTTTGTGACCTTGGTCACTTGTATGATCTTGAATAATTCCCTCTCTGGGCTTTAGTCCTGTCTGTTGAGGTTTAGAGTTTTAGGAGTGCTGGGACCCCAAAAATCACAACACACAGGTTCTGCCTGAATGAATTTGACCCAAGCCTTCTTTCAGCCAAAGATAAGGTTTATTAAAGATCAGTCATATTGGTCAGACTCTTAAGGAATCTAAACATTTGTGACACTCGTAAGGATGAGTGGGCACAAGGAAGTCTCAGCCTCTAAATGGCAGCCAGCATGGATCTTATATACAGAGGAGGGAGGGATCTAGGAGTGCCAAGTAGTTTGGGGTGACTGAAGGAGGGGCTGGGAGAAGGGCTATCTTTGTGGGAGTGGCCAGTAAGCTGGGGTGATTGGGGAAAGGTCCTGGGAGAATCTTGATGAGAGTGACTGAGAGGTTGAATGGGGTCTAGATAACATCAAGAATGAGAAGTAAGTGGGGGGGGGGCATCCAGTAATAGACAATGGAGGGCTGGACTCAATTAGGGTAACAAAGAATTGGGAGATTAAGCGTGGGCATAAAGAAAGGCCAGTTGATAGGACTATAGCAGGCTGTACCTCATCACTATCTATAAGAGAAGGTGGTTGTACTTGGATGACCCCTAAGGGTCCTTCTGTTTCTAAATAAATGAAAGGGAGCGGTTAGGAACAAACCATGCTAACCAGATTTCATTTTTTGACAAGATTACTAAAATGAAGAGAATTGTATAGTATAATTTGCATAGATTCTAGCAAAGTATTTGATCAATTTGCTTATTCCATTTTTGTAGACAAGATGGAAAGGCTGAAGTATATGTGAGTGTGTTTGTGTTTGTAAACTGATTGAATGTCCAGACCCTCATTTCATAATGGTTTGATGTATCCTGAAGCTTATGTTTAGCATTTTTGTCAGTGACTTAAAGAAAGACATAGATTGAATGCTTACCAAAATTTTGGCTGATACAAAGCCAGCAAGAATAGCTAACATTGGATTCGTCTGTTATTCAAACTAATAAGCATTTATTAAGCACCAGCTATGTGCCAGGCACTGTGTTAAGTGCTAAGGATACAAAAAAGAAGTGAAAGAGTCTCTGTGCTCAAGGAGCCCACAATATAATGGGAGAGAATAAGAAACAAACAGACATGTACAAAGTTATAGACAGGACAAAAAAAGAAATAGAGAGATTGGAAAAGGCTTCATATAAGATGAGATTTTAGTTGGGACTTGATTGAGGGGAGGCAAGAAAAGGGGAGCCAAGGTGGAAATGAGCAAGGGAGAACATTCTAGCTGTAAGGGACAGACAGCAAAGAAACTTGTCTGGATCTGAGAGATGAAATGTTTTGTAGTCATTGCCCAAAATGACTGTAATGTGTTAAATACTGGCCCTAATCTGAAAAGATGAAATTAGTTGGGATAAATGTAAAGTCTTATATTTAGGTTCAGAAATGTAACTTCGTATTTAAAAGATGAGTGAAGTAGGAATTTTTAATGGACTATTTCAATATGAGTCAATAGTGTGATGTGGCAGTCAAAAAGAGCTCATGCAACCTTAGCCCTAAGACAGGTAGTGAGACAAGTAGTGTGTGTCTAGGGATTTGATTGAGTACAGTCTTCCTGTAATCTCCTTTACTCACATTACCTCTAGACTCTTGTCCTTAGTTCTGGGCATGACATTTTAAGAAGGATATTAATAATCTGAAGTTTCTCTAGGAATGTGACAAGGATGGTGAGAGAGTTTAAGATTATGCCTTGTGAGAATTCCTTAAAGAAACTGAGAAGATAGGACTTGGCACAGGGTTAGGTTACATGAAAGCTGTCTTTAAGCATTGGAAGGGCTCTCACATATAAAAGGAGGGCTTAGACTTGTACTAGTTGTCCACTGAAGACAAAACAAGGCACAGTGGGTGAAAGCTTGTTGCTCTGTAATAACTTCCTAACCTTTAGGGGCATCTAAAGAAAAAGTAAGGTGAGCTACTCTTCGTATTGGGGTGGCCTTAGCACTTTTCAGAAGAGATTCTTGTTCAGGGATGTTTTGGATTACCTCTGATACTCCTTTGAATTCAGAGATTCTGTGATTGTGAAATTTTCCCTTGTATTACATAATGAGCCTATATTAGAGATTAAATTTCTCCCTAGTTCAAAGTGACAGACCACTTTCAGAGGCAGCATGGCATAATGGAAAAAGAGCTAGCCTGGAAGCCAGCAGACCTGGATTCAAGTTCTGTCTCTGATCCATGCTTGCTGTGTGTTCCTGGGCATATATTCAAGACCTGAAGTTTCAGAAAAGGTGCCAATCTGCATTAGTAGAGGAAATTTCTCACTGAGAGTTGCCTAGAGCAATGAAATGACAGGTCCAGTCTGTACCTCCAAATGACAGAATCTATAGGTTGAAAGACTATAAATGGAAAGCAAGAGACAAAAAACTTTTTATTTTTATTTTTTTAGTGGGGTTGAGGTGGAGTGATGGTACAGGTAATAAATTAATTTAATTCTTTTTCTAGGAAGTGGAGTTTGTTCTTCATAGATGTTTCCGAACTAGATGTATCCCTATAGATTTTCTGCCCTTTTGAATCTCCTCTGATGATGGTAATTGATTTAAAAAAAAAACTTTCAAGGTGTCTTGTATTTTTTTCCTCTTTTGTCTGAACATTTCATGTAGGCAGCTTTTAGTGTTGATGTTTGGACCTTCTATGTGTAAAGTCTCCTCAGCCTCTGATTGTAACTTTTGAATTTTTGAGAGTTCCAGGTGCTAGAAGGTATGTATGGTTATTGGAGAGCTAGTTAATCAAAATGTTGCTGTACTCACTGATTTTTTTTTTTTTTGGCCTTTCAAACTTCAAACTTTAAACCTAAGTACTTACTAATAATAGGTGAAATAGTCGTTATATTAGAATGGGACTCAAGCAATACTTTTAAAGTTATAAGTCCAAGGAGCACAAAGTAGTGACTGAAAAAGAAAGGTTTCACTAATGTGAGATGAAACATTCTTAAGACTTTGAAGAAGAAAGGAAACTTTTTCATTGGCACTATAAGATTAAATTTCTTTCATATGTCTTGGCATTTTAACAAAAATATTTTGTTTTTGTTTTTGTTTTTTTTTTAATATGGAATTAAATAGTGACGTTTTGGGCTAAGTACTAGACAGAAGACCGTTGGTATATCCTTGGTTTGATATAGATTGTTCTACTGGTATGGAAAAGGAGAATGTTTTTGTTCTCATTTTTGTATATCTGTGCATATAATTTCAATATTTTTCATTAATTTTATCTTTCTACCAACACACAGCTGCACGGTTCACTTTTAAAAATCCTATTTACCCTTGATCTCCAGGTTGGAATTTTATAGTCAGCTTTGTTGCCTTAATGGGAAATTGCAGTGACAGGGCCCCTTCCTGTGGCTTATTTTTTGCCTGCCACTTGCTCACTTTTTATCTAAAAGTATTCTCTTCATTAATTGATGAAGAAGGGATATAGCACTCACTTTAATAAACTAAATGACAGTTGTTCTGGTAAGGTTAGTTGGCTCTGCATACGCTTGGGAATTTTGTGCATTCTTCTTAGCATTAAATAGAACCTCTAGGGTACTATATAGCAGGGTAGTAATGCTCTCTGAAAGGGAGATTTTCTGTCTCCTGAGATTTTGCAGATCAGAAAATCCTTTTAGACATTTGATGATTTAGCTTTGTTAAGTTAGAAAATAACTCAGTAATTGGAAGTGTAAACTAGCTTGCAGAATTAATTTTATCAGAAGCAGAAATAGAATTTTATGCTTGAACAGAGGAGACATGACAGTTAAGTGCAAATAAATATAAATATAGATCTTTTAAAATTTATTCATATTTTTAAAACCTGGAGGTCAGAATGTTTCAGTAGCTTTTGAGAAGCCAAGCTTTCCCACACATTTATTCAGTGCTACCAAAAAGAAAAAGTTAAAACTTATTTAAAATGTGGAAAAATTGCTTCCCAATATTTTAACAGAGAGAGACTGAGAACACACAGCATTGAATCATCAGGAAAACTGAAGATCTCCCCCGAACAGCACTGGGATTTCACTGCAGAGGACTTGAAAGACCTTGGAGAAATTGGACGAGGAGCTTATGGTTCTGTCAACAAAATGGTCCACAAACCAAGTGGGCAAATAATGGCAGTTAAAGTAGGTGATGCCCATAATTACTTTTGGTACTTTAATCCATTAGGTGGTGAAATTTGATGGGGCAGTAATGATGTTTCTGTTGTAGTTATGTGCTAAGTGAAGGATATGTTTATTGTAAATATAGTGTCTAACAAACTATTTATCTCAAAGATGTATTGCAGTATTTTGACCCAGACAAGCTTATATATATGACAAGTGCCTTGTTGCACATGCTTGCATATGTAATTGTTTACACATAATGCAACCTTGGCTGGACTCCTTAATGTGTGATAACTTAGGCTCTACCACTTGTCATGGGTGGGTGTTGACCATGCTGGTGACCTCTTGAGAGAAGGGCAGTGCTGCACTGAGACAAACTAAGAGCTAGAAAAGAATGGAAGAGGAAGGTTAGGCAGGGCAAGGGTTCACAGCAGCTACAGAAATGGAACCATTTCTGTGGAACCATTTTCATCTCTCTGCCGGTAACTTCAGCCTTAAACTGGCCTTGCTGACTAGATTTTATTTCCTCAAGGCTGCCCTGTAACCTGGACTTTAGAGTCATATCAAAATGTATAGTTGAGGGGCAGTTAGGTGGTACAGTGGATAGAGCTCTGGCCTTGGAGTCAGGAGGACCTGAATTCAAATCCAGCCTTAGATACTTGATACTTACTAGCTGGGTGACTCTGGGCAAGTGACTTAACCCCGATTGCCTCACCAAAAAGCAAACCCGCCCCCAAAAATCCAAAAAACAACAAAATGTGTAGTTGATGATGATCATGTCAGATTCTACACAATTTGAGAATGACATACCATCTGTTTTCTCTCACTGTCCCTCCTTTATTCCTCAGTGCCCAGAAATAAAGATAATAAAGGACATTTCTGGCCAGTTGCTAATAGCCAAAAATAAAAATAATTTTTGACCGATAGATTTCTTAAAAATACTTAGTGAGTTTCCTATAAACTTTTAGTGGATTTGTGGCTATTTTCTCCCTTCTTAAGAAATTAGAGAGTTAATTTGGAACACCTCCCCCCCCCACACACACACCCCAAGTTGTTCCCTTATCCCATGAGGTGGTTATTATTGGGAAATATAGTAGGATATTTAGATAAGACAACATCAATTTGTCACTTGACTATAACTAGATATTAGTGGTCAGTGTTCTCCTTTCACTGTCTTAGCATTTTTGTGAAACTCATATATAATAATAGATATAGTAGTCTATGCTGAAATAAGTCTGGTTGTAGCTTTTTAATTTGTTGGCATTTTCTGGGGAACATGTGAGATATAAAAAAGACAAATTAACAATGATAACCTGGGAAAATATTTTATAATTCCCTAGAAGAGCATTTTGAATTGTTTGTTAATTTACATATGCTGTGAGCCATCTTATCTTGAGAAGAAGAGACGTTATTTCAGTGTGATTACTATGTATGTATGGGAACCAGGTTCAGTTAGCTCGGGGTTTACTGCTAAATTTTCATTTTTGCCAAAAGTGAAACTTATAGCTGAGGTTCTGTATGTTTCATCCATGTGCTAGGGAGGAAATTGGTTTCTGCTTCCCCTCTCCCTGTGTTTATGTGGGCCTAGCAATACTGATTTGAGTGATTAATGTACAGAGTATTAAATGTCCTTTTTTACTGAACAATTTACGTAGAAAGAATATGTACCTAAGAAAGGTACTCTGCTTTAGAGCAAAGGAACACTTTTAGGAAGCAAGGTGAGTCATTCATACCAAATGAACCTCCCTATTTCTATTTAGGACAATAGTGTCTTCCTGTTCACTCAGTTTCACTACCCTGGAGTTATTCTTTATTTTTCCCTTCCTCTGCCCCAACCCCCATCTTATTAGTTAAAAAGTCTTGTGGATTGTACCTCTGCACCATCTTTCAGTCTCCTTTCCATTTGCACAACAGCCTCCCTAGTTCAGGCCCTCTTTGCTTCTTCTGGAGCAACACAACATCCTCCTAATTGATCATGCTTCTAATCTTTACTTTGTCTAATATATCTTAAGCACAGATGCCAAAATAATATTCCTAAATCACATTTCTGACCATGTTAATTTCCTACTTGAAAAGCTGTAGTAATGTACCTGTTGCTTCTGAGATAAAGTATAAACTTTTGAGCTAAGCGTTTAAAGGCTTTCGCATATTTCACCACTCAGTCAATGAGTAATAAGCCTTTAAGTGTTAATTAAAGAGTTATTAAAGGGTCTTGAGGAGTTTTTTGGGGGGGAGAGTGGGGGGTAATTTTAGTACAGTAATTTCTTCCTGGTCATATAGCAGGGACTTGTAAATATCTAGAACATCATCTGTATAGAAACAGGATACAGCTGGATTGTAGTATTCATAGCTATCATAATGATCCCCTGACTTGCCATGTAATCATTTTCAGCTTGTTGTATCCATATAGATTTAGTATAATAGCAGTGGTGAAGATAACTCATCATTTCTTTCCTGTCGCAGCCAGATATTTGGTATAATGAGCGTGAATCTAAAAATTAAAAAAAATTAGGAACTAAGTTATTGTTAAATGTATTTTAGATGCATCACTTCTTCTTATATTTAGAAGAGCAATTTCAGCTTTTTACTTGGCATTACTTCCTCCAGTTGGCATTACCTCCTCTCTTTTCCATTCCAAAAGAATTGAGATTATAGATAAGTAATTTGGGCAACTAGGTGATACAGTGGGTAGAGTGTTGGGCCTAGAGTCAAGAAGACTCATCTTCCAGAGTTCAAATTTGATCTCAGACACTTAACAACTGTGTGACCTTGGGCAAATCATTTAACCATGTTTACTTCAGTTTCTTCATCTGTAAAATGAGCTGGAGAAGAAAATGGAAAGCCACTCTAGTATCTCTGCCAAAAAAACCCCAAATGGAGTCACGAATAATCAGACATGACTGAATAACAACAATTAACAACAATAATAACAACATTTGGGTTTATGGCAGAATCATAAGTCTTGTCCTGGAATGTTTGGGATACATCTTGAATGAACACATTACATTTTGAAGCCTTTCAGTAGGCAGTCTCTCTCTCTTCCTAAGTAGAGGCTAGGGTGAATGGCATAAAATCTTTTACTTACTGTTCCAGCAGAGCTTTAAATAGACAAACAGAATCATTTAGACTTTGTAAGGTTTTAGCCTTGTCCAGTGCCAGTACTTTTTAAACTTTGAAGATCCTGTGTTGAACCTGACCAGATAACCAGTTGGAGTTCTTAAAGTTTAAGTTGCTGGAACTATGCCCAAAGGGCCATAAAACTGTGCATACCCTTTGACCCAGCAATACCACTTCTAGGTCTGTATCCCAAAGAGATCATACAAATGGGAAAAGGACCCACATGTGCAAAAATATTTATAGCAGCTCTTTTTGTGGTGGCCAAGAATTGGAAATTGAGGAGATGCCCATCAATTGAGGAATGGCTGAACAAGTTGTGCTATATGAATATAATGGAATACTATTGTTCCATGAGAAATGATGAGCGGACAGACTTCAGAAGAATCTGGAAAGATTTGCATGAACTGATGCTGAGTGAAGTGAGCAGAACCAGGAGAACATTGTACACAGTAACAGCAACATTGTGTGATGACTAACTGATAGACTTAGCTCTTCTCAGCAATGCAAGGATCTAAGACAACTCCAAAAGTCTCATGATGGAAAATGCTCCACATCCAGAAAAAGAATTATGGAGTCTGAATGCAGATAAAAGCATACTATTTGTGTGCTCTCTCTCTCTGTCTTCCTCTCTCTCATTTTGTTCTTTCTCATGGTTCCTCCCTTTGGTTCTAATTCTTCTTTACAATATGAGTAATGTGAAAATAAAACTTAAAAAAAGGTTTAAATTGGATAATGTAATTATTAAAGCTATCCTTACACTCAAAAAAGTGGTAATAAGACCATTTCCACATTACTCTTAAGGTAGACTTCTCAAGACATTCTTTATATAATTGGAGCCCTTCCCATAGTAAACATTGCCACGGTTAGGTAAGAAAGTGGGAAAGGCCTGGGAAGTGATTCTTACATATTTTCTTAACTTACAGGGCCTACTAAGCTCCTCTGCCTTTGAAACCCACCATTTTTCAGTGCAGCAACTCCACTGGCAAAATGGAATTGAATCAGGTGCTTTTTAAAATAAAATATTAACTATACTTTGTGTATTAGACAAAAACTAATGGGCTGTTTTTTAGAGCCAGAGAAATTTCATTCACCTTTTTTTGTTTTGTTTACTGCATTTGCAATATTTTGCTATTACCAACCTGTAAACTTAGATGGGATTTGTCACAGTCTTCTTAAATCCAGAAATATGTAAAAAAAAAAAAAAAGCACTGCTATTTGAACAATACTCTGAATTCTGATTTTGCTAGTAATTGTTTTTTTGTTTTTCTTCTTCAGAGCATTGTGTATTGCTTAGATATAGGAGGGTGGGAGGACCAAATAGAGAATCTTAAACCCCTACCCTACTCTTCCCTCTCTCTGAAGCCCTAATTTATTGTTAACAAACTCTCCCTCTTAGCTCACTTCTTCTCATGCTCTTTCCAGCTTCTTACACTCATATAAACCTGGAAGGCTTCAGAAGTTTTCCCTCACTTTTTAGGGCTAGTTGCTCTTCATCTCCTGCTTCCCACCATATTAGTCTGTGTAGAAAAGCTGACATACTTCTTGCTAGTCCCAGGTACTATCTTTCTTTTCTGTCGCTATTCCCCTGATGTTAAATGCTAGACAAAAAAAAAATATGCTTCCTTTTGGAGAAGGTTTGCTGCAAAATCAAGCCATTAAGAGGGCCTTTCACCAAGGACATTCACATCTACCAGAAATCTCAAGACTCAGAATATTAAAGTTACTATAGAACCTGTACTACTGGAGACTATGAGATTGGGAAATAAGGGCTTGCTCTGCATTCAGTTCGATTAAGCCAGCATATCTTAAGGACCCACTATGTGGCAAACACTTCTGCTTGACACTGGGGATACAAATATAAAAACCAATCAGTCTCTGCCTTCAAGGAGCTTTGATTCTACTGT